ATCTTCAGAGTCTCGTACTAAAAAGCCCAAGCCAACACAATACAACAAGGAGCACAAAACACAGAATAATAAAGTCAACTAGTACATAACCGAAGAAGACAAGAATTTACATATCACGGAAAAACAAAATAACCAAAGGCAAGTGCATCCAGAGAAAAATATCAACAAAAGGGCACTCCCAAGGTACCACCTCGTAGTCCCCAAAGTAAATATGCAAGATAGGGGGATATCCTGAGGTACCTTCTCGTAATCCCAAAAGTAAATATACAAGACCAGGGAATCTCACGGAATACCGTTCTGTAGTACCAAAGTAAATATGCAGGGCAGGGAGGATCTCCCGGAATACCGTTTCGTAGTCCCAAAGTAAATATGCAGGGTAGGGAATCTCCCGAAATACTGTTATGTAGTCCCAAAGTAAATATGCAGGGGGATCTCCCAGAATACCGTTCCGTAGTCCCAAAGTAAATATGGAGGGGATCTCCTGGAATACCGTTCCGTAGTCCCAAAGTAAATATGGAGGGGATCTCCTGGAATACCGTTCCGTAGTCCCAAAGTAAATATGATTTCAACAACTGCACATCAAGTGGTCACGTATCACAAATGAATCATCAAGTGCTCAAATATTACAACATATCACAAATTTCATTAATTATTTACAGATAAAAAAAATTCATAGTAAAATTATCTCCAGGAATTAACAAGTCAACAAAAAATACGGGATTCACATAAAAATCAAAATGGCAATCACACCAAATTATCATATAAAAATAAATTCGACAAACAAGGAATAAGGCATTTAAAATCAAGGATTTACTAAGTTTCAATAATTTTCCAATGTAATACATACGGGCATCTACGTATTTCAACCAATGTAATTTGCACATATAAACTAAGTACGTACTCGTCACCTCGCGTACATGGTTTTTCAATTACACAATTTCTATATAAGACTCAATGCCTAAGGGGTAATTTCTCCACTCAAGGTTAGGTAAGATACTTACCTTTTTAAAGTTAGGCCTGATATTCCAAAATCGTCTTCTTACTTGAATTGACTCCGGGTATCTCAAATCCCAATCCATATGGTAAAAATCGCCTAAACAATCGCTTCAATCCGAGCTCCATAGCTCCAAATATGTTAAAAATGATTGAAACCTCAAAATATAGCTACTGCTCACGTATTTACTCATCACGATCGCGAAAAATGCTTCGCGATCGCAAAGCACAAAATTTTTCAGCCCCAAAATTGCTCTTCGCAATCGCGGAAAACCAATCGCGATCGCGAAGAACAAACTCCCCAACTCTTCCATACATCCTCTAGTATAATGGTCATAACTTTTTGTACACAACTCCAAATGATGAATAGTTTAACTTTCTGAAAACTAGACTCCAAGGTCATTTGTTTACTAATTTCCCAATTCCTTATATATTTCTAGATATAAGCTTCCAATGTCAGCCCTATGCAACGGAGATTTCCAAACTCTTTCCGGACAACCTGTAATGTATCCGCCATAACTTTTTGTACACATCTCCAAATGACAAATAGTTTATCTTTCTGCAAAACTAGACACAAAGGGATACTACTTTCATTTTTGGATCATCTCCAACTTTCTTATAGATTACGAGATATGAGCTTCCAAAGTCGGGTTAGTGCAACAGGAGTTTCCTCTACGCGATCGCGAAAAGTTTTTCGCGATCGCGATTCACAGTGTTGAAACAACAAAATTGCTTCGCGATCAGGACCGTTTGTCCGCGATCGCGATGCATACCTTTGTGGCAAAAAATCAGCAACTAAAAATGGCCTAGAAATGGTCCGAAAGCACCCCGAAACTCATCCGAGCCACTCGGTACCCCGTCCGAGCATACCAACAAGTCTCAAAATATATTACGGACTTAGTCGAAACCTCAAATCACATCAAATAACGCTAGAACCACGAATCATACCCCAATTCAAGGTTAATGAAATTAAGAAATTTTAACTTTTACATTCGACACCGAAACCTATCAAATCAAGTCTGATTGACCTCAAATTTTGCACACAAGTTATAAATGACATAACGGACCTATGAAAATTTTTAGAAGTGGATTCCGACCCCGATATCAAAAAGTCAACTCCCCGGTCAAACTTCCAACTTAAACTTCCTATTTTTGCCATTTCAAGCCTAATTCCACTACAGACTTTCAAATAATTTTTCGGACACGCTCTTAAGTCCAAAATTACCATATGGAACTATTGAATTCATCAGAATTCGAATTCGAGGTCGTTTACACATAAGTCAAATCTCCGGTCAACTCTTTTCATTTAAGCTTCAAAAATAAAAATTATTCTTTTAATTAAATTTCGTATCTTCTGAAAATCAAACTCGACCACACTCGCAGGTCATAATACATATTACGAAACTGCTCGAGACCTTAAGTCACTCAACGGGGCGTTAATTCTTAAAACGACAAGTCAGGTCGTTACAGTAACTAACAAAAAAGTTACTATAATTTATCGGGAAGAATGCAACGAGGGCGTTTTAGTATGAAGGACGATATTGTTCAGGAAATTTTTAGAGAAATCAAATAGTTTAAGTAGGAAACTGACAAAAATATGATAGTTTAGGGATATTTTAGGGTATTAAATTGGTTGGTTACACAAAGAATCAATTGGAATTAACTAATAGTTGCATAAAGTGTAGTAGGATTTGGGAAGTCACTATCATATTTTTTTGTCAACCAAATAGCTTAATGGATGTTACTATTTTAAATTCTCTTTCAGCTTCTCATCATCTAATTGTTGAAGGTAACATAACAATTTTATAAATAGTGTAACAATTTTCATACATTAGCTTGTTGTGGACGTGCAACCTAATTGTATATCTTTTTTGCAAGGAGAATTTTGACGTGGCAGACTATTGTTGTTTACTAGTCCGCAAAGACTATTTTCTTTAATTTCTTTTTAATCTAAAGACGATTTTTTCCTTTAAATTCAAGATAAGGAAAATGGAAATGGAAGGGAGGGATAAGAAGAATTGGAAGGTTGGTAAAGATGAGTAAAAAAATGGCATTGAATTAGGATACGCAAACTTAAAATTCTCAGCGCGTGTTGTATTCAAGGGTTGCTTCAGGACTTTAAAAGGCCACAATACATACGCCAAGAAGCTCAAGTTGCCAACAAAAATAGTAGAAGCGAAGTCCCACATACATACGTCAAGAATCCCAAGTTGCCATGACAACTAGTAGAAGCATCAATCATACACACAAGTAAAAAAACAGCAGTCAAGATCCGTTTGTGTGTATCTCAATTAATTTTACGAAGGTATCTACTACTTCTTACCAGCACATGTACCGAGTAACTCTATCAAAGGCTTAATAGAAAATCACCTATATTTTTTGTCTCCTTTAAAATTTGAACATGAGAACTCATGGTTCTCAATCAACTCCATTGACCACTAGGACACACCCTCATATGCATATATATATATATTAAAGTTATGTATTAACAAATGGTCTAAGAATACCTCTCGTTATACTATTGAGTTATCTATACCTCTGCAGTCATACTTTGGGTTCAAATATACCCCTCATTTAAAACGGAGGGACACGTGTCATCGGCCTGTTGGCCAATTCTAAATATCTCTTAATTAATTAAAAAGCAATTTTCTAAAATAATTTTTTTTTTTGTAAAAACTGAAATATTTTTTACTAAAAAATAAAAAAAACGAAAATATTTTTTTTCCAGTTTTTACAAAAAAACTGCTTTAAAAAAACTGAAAAATATTTTCTAAAACAATATTTTTGCAAAAACTGAAAAAAAAAACTAAAAAGCAATTTTCTAAAATAATTTTTTTTTTTGTAAAAACTGAAATATTTTTTACTAAAAAATAAAAAAAACGAAAATATTTTTTTTCCAGTTTTTACAAAAAAACTGCTTTAAAAAAACTGAAAAATATTTTCTAAAACAATATTTTTGCAAAAACTGAAAAAAAAAACTAAAAAGCAATTTTCTAAAGCAATGTTTTTGTAAAAACTGGAAAAACTGAATTTGTTTTTACTAAAAACTGAAAAAATCGAAAATATTTTTTTCCAGTTTTTAGACAAATATTGCTTAAAAAAAACTGAAAACTAATTTCTAAAGCAATGTTTTTTTGTAAAAACTAAAAAAAAAACTGAAAAGCAATTTTCTAAAGCAATGTTTTTATAAAAACTGAAAAAACAAATATTTTCTTCTTTTTTTCTTCTTCAGTTTTTAGTTAAAAAAATTCAGTTTTTCCAGTTTTTAATTGCTTTAGAAAATTATTTTTCAGTTTTGTTTTTCAGTTTTTACAAAAATATTGTTTTAGAAAATATTTTTCAATTTTTTTTAAAGCAGTTTTTTTGTAAAAACTCAGTTTTTAGTAAAAACAAATTCAGTTTTTTCCAGTTTTTATTACAACAAAAAGTTGTTTTAGAAATTATTTTTTAATTAATTAGGAGATATTTAGAATTGGCCAACAGGCCGATGACACGTGTCCCTCCGTTTAAATGAGGGGTATATTTAAACCCAAAGTATGACTGCAGGGGTATAGATAACTCAATAGTATAACAAGGGATATTTTTAGGCCATTTTCGAAATTACATGATATATTTGGACCTTTGCAGTGGCAAATCATCCATCACACATGTACTACAAAATTGTTAAGTACCAATTGCGTGGCCAACTTATAGCGTCGTTGCCTCGGCTTAGAGGGATCGTTAAAGGATTGAAAAATACAAGTACAAATTGGAGATTGCATATCTAAGTTGATTTTTCAATACTTAATGTAAACTCCTCTATTCCTATCTAGTTGTAATAGATTGTTTCATTAAATTACTCAAAATGCACGAAAAATGATCCAAACACTACTATTATCTTCATCTGAAAAGGAAACAACAGGTGTGCAGATTATTTTAGATTTTGCCTCATCACTTCTAAACTTGCATTATACATATTATTATTATTTCATTAGGCAATGCAAATCACATAATTAAATTCAAGAGGATGAACTACAACAGAGACTTTGCTCCTCCTTTTCTTCCAAACAGGGATAGTAGAATACATAGATATTAAGACAATACATGCTGACAAGCAGCTGTATTTGTTTGTAGCTCTAAAACAACATTAGGCGTGCCCTCGTTACAGTTCAAAGAAATACAAAAGAACTCAAATTCCTTCGTATGCCTAATAGTCGAGAGCACGCCTATGCCTGCCTACAGAGTATCTTCATAAACAGATAAGTTAGCAAACACGACTTCCTCACTCGATGTCATCAATCCAGTCACCATATATCTTACTAATTTTATCTGGCCCTTTCCATTTCTGAATAACCCTATGGCCAGAGGGCCTTTGCACTTGAACGCCTGGTACTGAAATTGTTGAGGGTACCATACTTTCTGTTGTTTTTAAAGAACCCCCTCCCTGCCTCAAGTCTGGAGGAGTAGATAGAGGATCTTTGCCTTCCATCTCCATAAGTCCTCCACCAAACTTGTGCAACTCTGCCCAGAGAAGACGGCTAATATTAGCATCAGATTAAATATCCAAATAGAATATAGTGTAAAGTCCAGAACCCAAAGCTATTGATGACGTCTTTTTAAATGAATATCAAGTCCAGAAACCAAATAAATTTGAGAAGAGTAGTTCAAATTGGCAGGACATTTATGAGTATTAACCTCTGGTGATGTAGGTTGTATAGATGCAGAATTCTCTGAACTATAAACAATTACTAGTTTATACAGGTCTCACTACTGGAAAATCATTGCCATTATTTTTTCAAAGAAAGAAAATCATAACCAGTTCCAAGTACAACTACAACAAGTTGAGTCAACACTCAACTGCTTCCTTGGTCTTCGAAACTCAAACGGTTCTTTCAGCACCGCAAGTCTAGTGGCAGAGTATGTAATTTATAAATGACATACCAAAACCCTCTTCCAATTACACACTATACTAGCTTCAGTGTGAAACATTGACACCATATGTATGTATCTTATTACAGTACATTTTTCATTTAAATTGGCATCTGATATAGAAACTGTGAAACTACATTCTCTAATTTAGTTTTGCAATCCATGCAGACCACCACAACCAATTCCAATGGAAAAGAACAGGTAAAAGCTATTACAGTATGAGAACTATCCAAAAGTGACTAGTAGTATATATTTAAGAATGAGGGGCCATGTTAACTATTAAAGCGCATTCTGTTCTCCTGGACATGGAATGCCGAAACTACATTCTCTGCTTTCCTTTTGCACCGACCTCTCTCAAATTTGTACTTTCCCTTTTCATATCTAAAATTTAATATCCAGATAACAAAAGATGAAAAAACAATATCTAAAATTCCAAAAGCTATTCCAACTCTTCTTCAGACAGCACTCTGTTCAAACTAAAGTCACAAGTTCCTATTCAGTCTTTACTGAATAAATCTGCACGTAAATTATTGCCGTAGGACATGAGATACTCTATAGAGAGAACGCTAAATGGTAACCTAAGGTATAAAAAATTACTTCCATTAACAGAAAACTCCTGCCTGTTACAGCAGAATTTATACCATTTATTTATTCCGTGGTAAAACACACTGTTAACCAACTTAGGGTTATAAAAGCACTGATGGAAATGTAGACATTCCCAAATTCGAATACTTGCTTAGATCAACTTATATTGTTCATTTTTTTCTGAGAGATCAAGCGTAAATAACAATGCATAAAAACTAAATCTTCATTTCTTAAAATAGTTAATTTATTTCTTGTAAATTAATGAATAAGTGCTCCAATTTCTTTCACAACAAAAGGATGAAGCTAGTTGCGAATGCAACTTGCAAGCCAAGCTTTGCGAAAGTGGAGCCATGACACCATGAGGAGTATCACTCGCTAACATAATCACTCTCATAAATAAGATGCAACTTTGGACAATCAAAAGATCAGACACCTTTAAGCGTTGACACAATTGATTTCATAAACTTCAAAAAATAGTCAACACTATTTCATAATTTGTTATAAGAGATTTTATTTAACGTGTTTTAGCTAAAACTCCTTTATTCTGTTATAATGTTTCCATTCGTCATCCATCACCATTCTTTCTAATGATGATATCACTTTGTGAGCATGAGTCTCCATAACAATATGTGAAACAAATTTGTTTCAGCAACTTGCAATAAACACATCTGAATGCTTTTAAGAAAAAAAAAGTATGCATCATGTCATGATTCACCACAAAATTTTTCAAATTGTTCACTTAACTAATCATATCTACTATCCATTGTAGTTTACAAAGTGAGCTAATATTTCGGACGGTTGACAAATTCTTTTTAATACTGATGGATGATGAATGGAAGCACTATAAGGGAGATAAGGAGTTGATTGGTGAAGTGAGTAATCTGAAATATTTTGTGGTGAATCATCATGGCGCATGCTTTAAGCATTCATATTTGTGTTTATTGCAAGCTGTTGAAAAAAAATTGCTTCACATATTGTTATGATAACTCGTGCTCACAAAGCGAAATCATTAAAAAAGGTAATGGATGATGAATGAAATGCTAAGGGAGATAAAAGAGTTGTAGCTAAAACACGTGAAATAAAATCTCTTATAATGAATGGTGGGATAGTATTGACTACTTTTTGAAGTTTATGAAACCAATTGTATCCATGCTTTAAAATGTCGAACTTTGATTGTCCAAAGTTGCATCTTGTTTATGACATGTGGGATACAATGATTGAAAAAGTGAAGATAATTATCTTTGAGCACGAGGGGAAGGATCTAATTACCGGTCAATCGGATTTTTTTGACACAATTCAAGAAATACTTATGGTTAGGCGGAACAAGAATAATATCACTTTACATTGTATGGCATATTCATTGGTTCCAAAGTACTATCATGAATCATGGATTCAAGATGAAAGCAACGGTATCCAGAGATATGCTCCCAATGAAGATAGAGAATTTCATTGAATAGGACTAAAAATTCAAATGAATTGAATCAAGTATTGTGGAGCATTTTGTAGTGGGAGGGATTATTTTAGTGACCTTAATGTGATTGCAGCTATGATGTATGAGGAGCCCCTTTCTTGGTGCGCAATCATATTGCCTCTGCTCCACTTTTGCAAAGCTTGGCTTATGAGTTACATTCGCAGCCAGCTTCGTCCTCTTGTTGTGAAAGGAATTGGAGCACTTATTCATTGATTCACAAGAAATAAATTAACTATTTCAAGAAACGTAAATTTACTTCTTATGCATTATAATTTACGCTTGATCTCTCGCAAAAAAGAACAATGTAGAAGTGGTCCAAGCAACTATTGGTATTTGGATATGTCAATATTTCCTTGATTTGATATTTTCTTTAGTAATTTATTAAGCATGATAAGTGGGTTTCCTTTTTCCATAACCTTCTAATATTTCTATTCATCTTCATTTTGATGTTAACTTAATTGAACTATTAACAGATGAACCCTAATCAGAATTTAGCAGCAGTAGTCTTTGGAGAAGAATACGAAGATTTGCAGGTAGTTGAAGAGATAGAGGAAGAAAGCTATGAGTAGAAGCTAGTAGGCTACCAAGTGTCTAATTTGAATATGCTTATCAGTTTTTTATTAGGTACGTTCAAATGTTCATTGTTCTTGGTGGATATTGAGATTCTAGTTTGGTTTGGTGGTTATGTAATTGAGTGATTTTTGAATAACCAAGTGTTGGGACAAGTGTGCCTCTGTTTATGACAACATAAATCTTATATTTTAAGATTTCAAATTCACTTCCTTTAAGTTGTCCCGTGTTTACATTTACATTACAAGTTACAAACTCCCTCTGTTCCATTTCCTATGACATTATTTCCTAAATATTTCGTTTAAAAAAGAAAGACATCCTTCTATATTTGGAAACAACTTAACTATAAACTTCTAATTTTACCCTAAGGGATTGTTTGGCTCAAACCAGGTTATCCCGGGATCATAACCAATAGATAATCCCACCTTCTATATGGGATGGATAATCCCATTATTTTGGTATAAATTTTATCCTGGTTTTAGCTAACACTTACAATCAAACACTGGAAAAATCATCCCAAATTTTATAGTGGGACAACCCCCCTAATCCATGTAACCAAACGGCACCTCAATGAGAAATTTCTATAGGCACACAAATGTTATAGCATGTTTAAGGGCACAAGTTTCAATGGTCTTGTAGCCACACAAATATTGTGACATGTTTAAGACCAAAAATTGCAAGTCTTTCTTTCTTAAACTCACTGACGAATAAAACTAAGTCACATAAATTGGAACAGAGGGAGTACTTTATTTATTTTAATTACCAAAGACAAACATGGAGTAAGATCAAGAGCCACCTGATTCTTGGATCAAAAGTAAATTTTCTTTCGCTTTATGTCTAATTTTTTTAATTATATCTTAATATCTAGTTTACTATTCCTTTCATTTCAATTTAGACGAGGTAGTTTGACTTGGCACGGAGTTTAAGAAAAAAAAAATTTTGAAACTTGTGGTCTTAGAAGCTTAAGGGGTAAAAGCTTTGTGGGGCCATGACATTTGTGTGGTTAAAAAAGCTTCTCATAAGGGTAAAATGGGTAAAATGAAGAGTTTAAGGTTGAATTATTTCCAATTGTAAAAATGTGTCATTCTTTTTGGAACGAACTAATAAGGAAAGTGTGTCATCTAAATTGAAACAGAGGGAGTACTTTATTATTTAAATTGTGGGAGAATGAAGAAATCCTGCAATCTTGGAGTGTGTCTACCTGCCCACAACTTGAGAACTAATAAAAGACTGAATTACTACACTCTACAAGTTGCATGCAAGTTTTCCACGGAATATTGTCATAGCTCTATTTTTAAAAGTTTGAATTAGTTTTAGATCAACTCCATCACTCATCTCTGCACCTGGATCCATAACCCCGTATGTTAAAATTTAGACCATGACGAATTCAACCTCTAAATCCGCACTCATATGAGATATCCGCACTCGCAAGGGATATAGTTACTTGTATCCGAGCAACATAGGTCTACGTAAAACATGGCTAAACCATGCCAACTGACTTTTTCTCCCCCCTTTTTTTTTCCTTTTTAATAAATCAAGAATGACTTTCCCTCGATTTATCATCTGTATGTGCTACTTGTACATTTTTTATGTTATTATTTATAATATTGTCTAAACTTGTATAACCGCAAATCCATCTTAACATTATGACACACATCTTGTGTGATGAGCATTTTACACCAAACCACAATTTAACCAAGCAGATTAATATCCAGAGAAAATTGAAATCGACAAGCATCAACTTGCAGCACTCTCCGTATACAGTAAAATCACAACTCCTATACCAACAAAAATAAACAAAAAATGCATTCATACCTGCTGCTCCATGAGCAAAATGACACTTGCTGCCAAAAGGGCAATAACCAGTGGTCTCCCACTTATTACAAATTCTTGTCTTCCAGTTTGAAGGCTTCAGGTTTGCTCCAGCAGCATTATCACCGAATCCACCAACAGTGGGAGTCACACTTATTGCAACACTCTCTCTAGCTCGAGACTGTTCATCGTGAAGGAAACTGCAAGTATCTCCATAAGGACATCCTTCTTCAGTGTAGAACTTCTTGCAATGCCTCCCTTTAAAGGACCTTTGTGTCTCAATACGCAACTCGGGAGAACTCACAGTTGGTATCTGGTGCTCTTCTCTTGATTCCAACATAACTCCTCCTCCGCGCTCACTTTCATGTTCAGCTACTATCTCTTGCCAATTAGGTGGCGGCTTGCGCAGCTCCTCTATGCCATGAGCAAAGTTACAGTTATTAATATAAGGGCACACCCCAGCGCGGAACTTGCAACACAATTTAGTTTTGAAGAACATCTTTCCGATTGCTTTGGAGCGATTAGTAACGTGTGAATCTGCGCCCTGCGAGCTCCGTGACTTCTTTTGGGGAGGCTCACTCCCAGATCGATTGGAACTGGAAGGGGTTTCGGAGGAGGGGCCATTGCTCCAAGCTCTATAATCATCCTCAGTAGCCCAAACAGCCTGGTCAGAAAAACCAGGACCCCAATTGTCAAAGCCACTACCATTGGAAGTGCTATCGGGCATCATATTCCCTCCAGCAAAACTAGCTTCTCCCATGAAATCCATGAAGAAACAGACCCAATATGCTCAAAACCACCAAAAAACATATAAAATGGAGGGATTAGACATACAAAAAGAGCAACAAATTTAGACTCTTCCAGATACACCTCTCGGAATAAATTACCCAAAAGAGGTAAAAACAGGACTAAGAGTACAGAGAGGGGAAGAACCACTTAAAAATAGGAACTTTTTTTATTAAAAACAACAGGGAGAACGTTAAAAATTGGATCTTTTTACTTAATGAGCTCTAGACCCATCAAAATATGTGCTCAAAGGAAAAGAACACCTTCAGTAAATTCGAAGCTCGATGCCCTAATTCAAATCACTCAAAGAAAAAGGGCAAAAAACATAGATAAAAGCAACAGAAACTTAACCAGCTAGCGCTCAAAGAGAATGTCAATTCAAAAACCTTAAAGAAAGAGAACCCAGAAAACCCCCAAAATAAGAAAGCAAATACAGGAAAATGAGGAAATAAAGATAGTGAAAGAAAGCGGTATACAAAAAAAAGAATTACTAGTAAAGAAAAGAAATAGTTGAAGCAACTTCAGATCAGGAAACAAATCTCACACTAAATTTGTTACAGCAACCGCAAGAAGCAAATGAGAGGAGTGGTTATTGACCGACAGTTAATTGGTAGTAACTCCGAGCGATGTTATTTATCACTGAAAAAAAATAGATTTCTCCACCCTGTCCATAAACATTTCAGGTACGGTGTTTGGCGCGGTGGTCCGAACGTAGATTTTTTAGAAGCATTAATTGCAAAAGCTCCTCCTCACATTTGTTTTCCTTATTACATATGGTTGACAAAATTATAATGTTCTCCCTCACTTTTTTCTCTTCTTATTTATGAACAGTTATTATTGCAAACAAAAAAAATGTTATTTTTAAAAAAAATTTATATAATCTTCTCTTATAGTTGATGAAATATTAGATTTCTTGATTTATTTAATTATTTACGATGATTAATTAAGAACAATAGTTTGTCGCGTCTTTATGAATTACAAAAGTCTCCTTGTTGTTGACGGAAATATTAAAGTTCCCCTCAAATTTTGGTCGATTAATTTAAGTAGGAAGATAAGTTATAAATAACATTTGTTTATATTACATAGCCTACTCTATGGTTGCGATAGCATTTGTCACGTCTAGTTTGATTTAATGTATCCTTTACGCAAAAGTATTAGTAGCATTATCTATCAACTTATAGCCAACAACATTGTTGGTTTTCCTCATAAGTTCACTTTTACCAATGGGCAACTTTTCAGTTTACTCTATGCTTATAATCTAGATTCACCCAACAAATGTGGAAAGCTGAAATACTGCCCCAAACTCATTTACTTGCTTGGCCATTGGAAAACCTGAGAGCTTATTATGTCTACTGAGATAATTAAGGTGTACAAGAACACAATTGACTCACCTGGCTAGTACAGATTAGATCAGATGAATATCGAGGAGAAAATGCTGTGTAGTAAGGATTAACTAATGCTATTAATGTAAGGATGGCATTACACATTTTATTGTGCGACTCAAATTTCAGTGCTCTGTGACTAGAAAATGAGATTAGCATACTCATGGTATATCATTAGATAGTACCATGATATGACCCCAACCATTGCGGAGATCAATCCGCATACGCAGGAAACAGATGTAAAACTGAAGCAAATTCAAAGTCCTTAAATCTTTTACTGAATCCATTAAACCAATGACGCGAATAATTACAATGAATATCATCAATGTACAAAGCTCAAGAGCTAAGAAAGTGAGAATAAAACTAACGCGATAACCACTAAACTAATGTCAGAGTTCACCTTTCGAGTATTACAAGCTGGAGATCTGATCGGAACCTATATCTGACCAAAAGGTTGAGTCCCTGCAGTGGGATGAAAATGACTCCGCCAACCCAATAACATCTTCGTACCCTAAGCCTAGTACCTTGTTGCCCTACCACTACAGATGCAACCTTAGCTGCTACGGAACCCATGCTTTTCAAATCAGACACGCCCCTCAATATTTCGTACAAAATACCCGATGCATAAGCATCCCCTGCACCACAAGTATCTATGGGCACGCATGGTGACGGAGGCATAAAGATAGCTTTCCCCTTCACACGAATGGAAGAACCTTTAGGCCTATCTGTGACAGAAACTAAAGGGACGAAATGGCCCAGGTACCTTGTAGCAGAAAGGGGCTTTCATTTGATGAAAAATGACAGAGCTTCGTCGCTGTTAGCAAATACTATATCTGCATAATTTTCCATGATTTCCCTGGCCGAAAAATGTGGCAAATAATAAGGATAAACAACACAGGAACAGTTGAAGAAACAAAAATTCAGGATCACTATGTACATGTCTAAACAACAAATTTTGGTTTCTGACTTGAGTTTTTATGATAATTTCAGCAGACTGTTAACCATTAGCAGACTTAGCCTGATCAATATAGTCCTGTTGATATTTAGCTTAAAGTATGTACATTTATATGCATATCGCCTCGCATTTTACTCATGTTTTGTAGATTTCGGATGTGAAATGTAATGATTTGTGCTAATTCGTGGTGTTTTATGAGTAGGAATCATTTGGAGGCAATATGGGACGAATGTGCGAGATTGGAGGCAAAAAGGAGCGAAATGGGAAAAACGACACAGGGTAGCGCCCAGGCTAGCACGGGGAGCTACCTGTGGCGCAGAAGCCAGAAGTGAAAAAATCCCAGTGCCACGGCTAGCGCCCACGCTACCCTGGGCGCTGGTGACGGGATAGTTCTTTTAGTTCCCCCAAGACAAGGTTATTTCGGTCCAATACCCCTCCCCCCTCCCCCAACTCGTATAAAAGCAAGACTAAGCCTATTTTGTGAGGGGGGGACGCCACTTTGAGGAAAAAATACACACGAGGAATATCCGGGAGCGATGATATCTAAGTTTTCTTCATCTTTTCTTAGTATTCTCAGTTATTCAACACTTGTGAATTTGTTTTGATCTTATCCTGAGTGGCTAAAACACATAGTTCTGAGGTTGTGATTTAGCTATGAATATTGTTGTTTGACGTTGACTTAACCTTGATTACAATTTGCTAATATATGGTTGTTTCTTCGATTCTGCGATTAATTGCTTTATTGTCTGGCCAACAGTTAGGTTTTACTTACTGTCTATGCTATGCTTGGGAAAGCAACGTCTAGATTAGAGAAGATTGAAGATGGCATGATCTTAACTCTGAGTTTGGGGGGGGGGGGATGGATTTGTGTGGTTAGGATAGGAATATACCTAGTAACCATGCTTAAATAAATATCGTAATCTTAATGCGTTTTTAATAGATTGATTCCATAGGAATATATGCGTTAATCTATTTTGAATAGCCGGGTAGTAATTCGGGAGAATACTACGAGAACAATCATTCGATTAATTAGCAACCATGAGTAAATTGTATGAAAGGGAAAGTTAATTAGAACACAATAGGATTGGTGAATCGATCACAACCCTGGAATATTCGTCTCTACTGAATACACAACAACTATTTTGTTGCTTGTTTAATTAGTTACTTGTTAGAATTATTGCTTAGTATAATCACTTTTGAACTCTGATTGACTCGACTGAATAATAATCTTGGTGAAACTCGTGGGTAATTAACACAAGTCTCTGTAGGTTCGACACCCAATTTATCACTTTATTACTTGTACGACCACGTATATTTGCGTGTGCGTTTGGGAGCAACAAGTTTTTTGGCGTCGTTGCTGGGGACTTGAATATTGACTACTTTCTAGCTTTTACTTTAGTTGTTTATTTCGTCAAGTCTAACGTTTCTTATTGGTTGCTCTGCTCTCAGGAACTTTGATCGAATGCGAAGGGTCAAAAGCCAGGATAGACATCAAGGCTTTGACCCCGAACCTGAGAGAACATTTCCCAGGAGATTGAGGAAAGCAAGGGACGCAGATAATCTTCAGGCACTTGTTCAATTACCTGTGAACATAGCAGAGGAGTAACATACGATTGTTCAGGAGGTGGCGATGCCCAGCATTGCTAATGTCACTTCCAGTATTGTGAAGCCCAGAATCACTGGGCACTTTGAGCTAAAACAAAGCATGATCCAGTTACTACATGTGAATGGGCAGTTTATGGGTCTTCCACACGAGTATCTACAACAGCACATCCTGAACTTCTTGGAGATTAGTGATACTTATATCACTAACGGAGTCACTCC